GCCTGGAGGCATTGGCCGTCTGGAGTGTGCCCAGGAGCAGAGAAAGGCCCAGGGCAGCCGAGGGCCGCTGGGCTGCCTGAGGATTCCTCCTCTTCTGCCGGCTGCCCTGCAACTCCTGGCAAAGGTCAGCAGTGTGTGCAGCACTCTGGGCACCAGGGCAGGGAGCCAGGCTGCTCGGCAGGCTGGAGCACAGGGCAGCCTCCTTCAGGCCCGGCTCTTGTGCCAGGAGAAGCGAGGCCAGCGTGAGGCAGGGACAGCTTGGCAGGACACATCTGCAGGAGCCAGCGCCTCACGCAGCTCTGGGAGGAAGTGACTGCAATCCTGCAGTTCTGCACTGAGCCAGAGCAAAGGTGTGAGATGAAGAGTGTTTGGCAAGAATATTCAGGCCCACCAGGCCAGCCTGCTTTGTGTACTCTGGCACACAGCAAGCACTGTGCAATGCAGCTCTGAGCTGCTGGGAGAGAGGGAGTCGGGGATGTGCCTGACGGTTTTGCTTAAGTAGTGAACTGATTAGGAAGGGAGCAGAATAATTTCAGTAGGCAATTTGTGTTTTCTTCATTCATTTCAGAAAGTAAGTTATAATGTGTCTTCACTCATCAATAGCACTTGCAGGACTTTATGAGAAAATGTTTGTGTTTGATTCCCAGAATAGGAAGGGCAGGCAATGGGAAAATATTAAAGTGTAAAAAGGGGACTTAGTCTTGTGAATTCCTTTTCCTTTAGCACGCAGTGCTTAGTCCTGTATTACCCCATTGCTGTGCTTAATGTGTGCATGGGGCTATCTTGGCCTTGAGAACAGAGAGAGTGTTCCTTCTAAGAACGTAGCTGGAACGCATTTAAGGGAAGGAAAGTGTTTTTAGGAGGCTCTTGACCAGAAAAGGAGAATTTGAGGAATGGGATATTTTGCAAACCACTGTGGCAGGAACTGGAGTTGTGTCCAAGGCCCTGTCATATTTGATCCATGTTTGAGCAGGTCAACGAGAAATGAAGATAAGTGTATTGTTCAATGCATTGGAACTTAACCTGGTACTGGAATTAATTACCAATATAGCCCCAAGGGACATGCCTGGGCTTGTCTGGCCCCTGCTGCATGACTAAAGGGCGGCAACTGTGGTGTTTACACCTCAGACACCTTTTTGGCTAAGCTGGATGCTGCAGCTGGGTGCTAGAGACAAGTCCAGACATGCAGGAGCTCAGGTTTACCTTGGTGGAGAAGGTTTAGGGCGAGGATGAAGGAAAGGATTTGGGTTCTGCTAGAGGGTTTCGATCCAGAGCTTTATTCCTTGCCCACAGGCCTCTGAATCCAGTAACAGCTCTAACAGAACCTCTTGAACCGCTTGGTTGCTGTTTGTTTTAACCCCGGGGAGAGGGGGAAGGAAGGGGTAGGGATCCCACCAACCAGGTGGGGGGGGATGTCGCAAAGGACAAATGACAGCTAAATGGCCCAATGTCTTCCAGGGTGTAAGGTGTCTTTTGAACTCTGCCAATCACTCAATGGCCTTCTGGAATGCCAGGATTGACAGACAGTGCTCAGCAGGGGTCAGGGTGGGGCAAAGGAGAGGTGATTGACACTCCTGGGGAAGAAATCTACAGGGAATAAACCCAAGGTATCTGAGGCAACCCATGACACCACAGCACAACATGTGGGTCGTTAACCTTTGAAAGAGGAACAGTGCATAATGGAGCCGTTGTTGTCATGTGGTTGGTATCGTGAGCCATTGTGGCAAAGCACAGAATAGAACTCACCACTAGTTAAAGTTAGAAGTTGGTATGTTTATTACATACCAGCACACAATGAGTCTTCTCCTAACCAGGCACCAGGCACACAATGAGTCTTCTCCTAACGACATGTGCAATGAATCACAGACTCTGGCTCTTCATCTAAAAAAGTCTTACATATTCATATAATTCCCAAAACACCTAATACATATTCATTAGCTAACCCACCTACCCCACTTTAAAATGTATTATAATTGAGTCCAAAGTTCCTTCATGCTTGTGCACTCTTTCACTTCGAGTGGGTTGGTGGGTTTTGAAGTGGGGAATGGTCTTCTGATGAAGGCCAAGACATCTTCCTCAATTTGACCTCTTTACTTATGACCTGTTGGCAGGCTTTCACACCCCTTGGCTTTAGCTGAAATTTTGGGGCCCAGGTGCAGGCTACGGTCCTCCTCTTTGTCACAAAGAAATCCACATCCCATTGTGTTTCTTAAAACATAGTAAAGACTGGTGAGTGATATATTACCCTAGCCTTAACTATTTTACCTGCTAAAAATTACCTATCTCTTATTATTTCTACTCTTTTTGCTATACTCTCCCCCCCATACTAAATACTTACCGCCAGTGGGGGGCTATGTACATATGACAAACAGAAGGGGACTGCTGAGGAACACACCTTGGCTGTTTAATTTTTCAGCATCAGTCTCATTACATGGTTATGACAATGGGAAGATGCCATGAGCTCACATCCCAGGCAGCAGACCATGAACTTATAGTTACAATTTACTTTATAAGCTGTTTAACCAATCACACAAAGCAAGAGCATATTGACAGTAGTTCTACTGTCCAATCACTACAAGCACACGTACCTTTGGTTAAAACAGTGCTTGCTTTTTTCAAATACAATACCTACTTGTAAGCCTTAAAATACAGTGCACAGAGCT